ATATCGCTGCTATCGCTGCTAACAAGAATATCGCTGCTATCGCTGCTCGCAGGCAATGCTTCCATTGAGAAGGGAGGCCAGGGGCTCGGAGGGCGGGTCGCAGCATCGTGACCAGTGGCAGCCAGACCTTCTTCCTTGCGCACAAAAGATGCATCGTGCAACGTCCTGTAGTAGATGTTTGAGTATATAATACGCAGTGGTGTTATATAGTTGGTGCCAGTTATCATGTACTGTTATTATGGGGCAGTCGGCAGCCTTTTTGCCTTGTTACAGCCCACCAGCAGGTGTCCTGGCGCAATTTACCAATGATCCCTATAATCCATGCGACCCCATAGGATGGCCAACAGGAGCATCTCGGAAAGTGTGACTTGGTTCTTCCATACCACAGGACATCCACCCAGAAGAGTTGCAACATCATGAAAATGCATGGATCGTGAAAAAGGGATCAAAAAGGCACTACTGGACGACGACGGGATGACTTTGGACAGATGTCCAGCTGGGACCGCGCCCTCCGACGGTCCGGAGCTGCCGGAGCTCCAGGCCGTGTGGTGGGCCGCATCGGCGCCGGAGAGTGCGATGCCCCGGTTCTGCGAGAAGAAACGCGGTGGAGAGGGGGCCTGTGTTGAAAACGCCAGGGCCATGATCATAGACAGCTCAAGGCTTTAAACAAGAATTGCAGTATATGATAGTATATGTATTGTATTGTATTGTATTGTAATATATACTACTATAATACTGTATATATATATATATAATAGATTTATTTTTTGATTTTTGTCAGGTAAACACTTGACAGTCCATCTCAAATCTCCATGTCCATCTTCACCGATAGCTCTACCGCACCCCCCAAGAACACACTCCCAAACCGGAGAGCAGCACCGGGACCGCAAGCCGGCGAGCCCCTCCGGAGGTTCATCGGAGAATCGGTGGCCTTGGGCTTCGTGCCCTCCGCCACGGCCACCGTGCGCGCGGACGAGAGGAGCGGCGCTGCGGGGGGCGGACGCGGTGCGGTACGTGGGGGCCCGAGGACGGCGGGGGGGGGGTGTGGGCGTGGCATAGACTTTGACTTTCTGGAATTCATTATATAAGAACCCCTCCAGGACTCCAGTGACTCCAGGACTTGGGAGTGTAACACCTCCCCGCGGCCGGGGGTTTTGATTTGATCAAGAGTCTACATAAGCTCTAAGAGCTCATGCGGAAATGAAACGAATGGAGTTTGGAGAATGTTACTTTGACTGGGTTGACTGGGCGTGTATGGGTGTGTTGCATTCGTCAAGCTTGTGCCCCGCCCCTGAAGGAATGTTTTCTCACCGGCACTGAGTGGGTTTTGAGTCTTTTAGCCCCACTGGAGCATGTCAGACACACACACCAGAGAAGTGAACAAACAACCCTTCTGGTGGTGAATCTGCTTTCAGATGTCTACACAGTAGCCGAGTAGCCGATTGGTCGTCATGAACCCACCATATCAACATTCATCCAACCCGGCGGTTCACTTGGTGCCCCTTCCTGGCGCCGAAATCACCCCGCGGTCACGCGGACGGTGCCGATGGCGCGGACGATGCCGGTCGTTCCGACGTCGTTCTGCCCCCGAGTCACGAGACGGAGGATGCTGACGTTCGCCATCAACAACACCGCCTTCCGGGAACTGGTCGACGAGTTTCCCGAGGAGACCTCGGAGCTCCTGAGCCGTGGAGACTTGAGACCTCGGAGCTCCTGGAGCGGCGGAGCGGCTTCAACCAGGTCCCGCTAGGTTGAGACACCACGAGGTTCGTCAAAAGGAAGGGTCCATAGGTAGAGGTGTTCGGTCTCCCCTCAGGCGCCCCCTCAGGTTGAATGGTCGAATGGTCCAGAGCACCAAGTTCCCAACTCAAGAGTTTCACACAACTCCCATGGGTGCATCGCTACTAATGAGTCACCGGTGCATCGCTAC